GACAGAGGAGTGGGGTGGGGAAATGTAAGTAACTGCAAAGTTTTCATGGTCATTTAAACTGAATTAATTTAGTGTAGTCGTTAAATTTACTGTCCGGTTCAAATGTGATCCCACCACAATAAGCATTCCAGTATCCTACTATCTGCCAGGTTTGGGTACTGAAATGGATCAGACATGAACTGTTTAAAAGAAAAGTGGAACATACCCTAGGTAATAGATACATAAAAGAAAATCCAATTGCTGCTTCAGACCCACTACAATTTTCCATTTTTCATGTAATTTTTGTCCCAGAAATAGAATCCAGTCCAACAAAATGGAATTCTTTACGGGAAAAAAAAAACATTTGTCCTCTTGCATGTTATTCCAGGAAAGCCATAACACATAAGAGATGCATCCTTTGGATACGTTAAAAATTCAAAAAGATATCCAATAATCCCAATAACATAAAATGTATGCAGATGGGACAGACAAAAAACTTCCAGAATATAAATTCATATACTTTTTATACCTGCTGCGTTGGGAGATATTTCCGCATATAATTGCATATAGCGCCCTTTTCACTTAGATCAACACTGACATGAGATTGAAGTTCCATCTAGTAGGGACAACAAAAGTCTCTGGTGATTGACCCAGAAAAGTTCAGTACATGCAGCTAATATGAGCTGTGAGATGGAATTAGAAATCCATTTGATCTCAAACTGAAATCAATTCATCAATTTAATTAATACCTTCAAAGCATATATGTACATCAAAGCTTTTGAAACTTGAAAATTCGATTCAACTCAATGTAACACTGACTCAAGTTAATACAGGGATTTGGATAGAATTAAGAAGAAAACTAATATCTTATTTCACAAGGTTACATTTTAGAACGCTTTAGCGTAAACTTGCCAGCTTAATGACTTGCATTAACAGCTGGCTTTCTAAGACAAGTGGCTTAATCATATCACTATGGACTATCCATCTTTTATCCAACTATCTTTTTACCTGCATCCATCTAAAATTAAGAGTATCACACATATCACATCAGCATGACTTGTGATTGACTCATTCAAGGAATGATTTTAGAGAACAAAAATAACCTTTACTACATGAATGAAAATAACACACGAATGTAAACACCATGTAATAATATTATTTATAACAGAGCTTACGACAAGGAGCTGTATACAACATGTATATTGTTTATAAACAATAAGAAGAACGTATCAGTAATTGAATCTGAGATAAAATACAGGGGCTGTTATATTCTCATTCAAATTAGACAATTAGCCAATCATAATACATTTGTAGCAATTAAACAACATCTCATAAGGAATGGCACCAGTTTAAAATGGTTTATACCTTGGTTGGCAATCAGAACCAGAACCCACGTCCAGAACTATGGCTGTAAAATTTACTCCCTCCAAGAAAAAATTCAATGAGGACTTTATCATCAATTCCACTGGCAGACACACATTGGGGAATGAGAGGTCATGTGACCCCCCAACTTTTGGTCAAATTTATTTTTTATTTTTTTACAAAATCATAACTTATGTGATCCTTTTCTCACTCTCTCGAGCGACCCTCATCCTCACCCCTTTTACCAAAATTCTAACCCTTCTAATTCTTCAAATTTATCTATAATTTCTCCACAAATTATCACATCTACTACAAATCTTCATTTCCCAATCAAATTTCCAACAAATTAGAACCTAAATATGTGTTTTTTGCTACTAATTTGCTCTAAAACTGCTGCAAAGTGGTTGTCATTATGCCACTGTTGGCCTCGTCTGCCGCTGCAATTTCGACGCCACCTCCACTCGTCGGACCTCCAAACTCAATCAATTTAAGTTATTTTGCCTTCGAAAATTAAAATGTAACATTTAAGCTGACAGTAGTAACTTATAATTTCAAAATTTTATTTTCTTTGACCAAAATTCAAAATGATGTAGAAAATAAGTTTGGATTACATTTATAGCTTGTTTTCATTAGGCCCGATTTGTGTTCATGAATGATTGTTGAATTTTGTATATTGAATTGTGTCAAGTTGATTTGGAATGAGTTTGAAATAATTTTTGAATTGTGTATATAAAATGGGTCGGAATGATTCTGTCCATTTTAGCTTTCACTTATTGAATGGTGTTTATTTGAATTGATTATTAGGATTGAATATTGATTGTATGTTTTTCTTTTCGATTACTTGAATTGATTGTTTGTATCCGTTATGGACAAATTCTTTAATCGTCAATTTGCATTTTTTTTTTGTTTGAATTGATTGTTTGTATCAATTATGAAACGTTATCAAATAATGAAAATGCGTAGAGAACAATTGTAATAAAATATCGAATGCTTTTATATTTTTCATAGCTTTTTTACAAATTTGTTTTTGCCCCCCTAATTCCAAATATCTACGTCTGCCATTGATCAATTCCCTGCTAAAACCATGAATAGCATTGGTTGATGGGATAATAAATCTACCAGACCACACAAATGCGATTCAGGATTAACAGGATGATTTTAACCAGAAGGAACCTTTTTGGGAGGTTTCCACCAGTAAGCGCTCAATTATTATTTCAACTTTTTTATGACTTTGTCCATGTTATTGTAATAACTGTGCCTTCTTTAACTTTAGTAGTTTCAATGGTCGAGTACAATATGGACAGAGAAATGATGTATTTGTACAATTAAGAAAATGAGTTCTCTACCTAATGTAAGAGTTAGAAAAAAATATCTCTGAAATAAGTTGTTTAGCCTTTCTAAGTGAGTCAGTAACAGTCCATAAGGAACTGAAACTCCAATACTAGATCCTGCTCTTGTTGGCATTACCTGCCATTTTATTTATGAAAACTGTCAAACAAGCCTAGAGTGATATCAAGTTCATCAGTGATTCTGAACTCTTTAGGACAAGAAATTAGTCTTACCACCACTTTTCGTACTTCAGTGTCCAGATTATTTCTACTAAACCACATTGATAGCACAGTTTCATCCAATTCACTTCCCTGAAAGCCATTTTCTCAACGTCACCAAGCGATAAAAGTGAAGAACAGAAAATAAGTATTTGGAAATGATATGTTGAGTGCAAGGATGTTGAACTATTGTCTCAGCATAAAGTTTTAGGTGAAGTGGTTCAATATGTTGTCTCAGGTGAAGCATCTGAGTCCAAGTCTTGCCGGCACCCATTAATTTGTGCATATGTCAAGCATTTCATGAAAAAAAGGAATTCCTCTTGCAGATGACAAAGCATGTTGAAAACAGAATTCGAATAAATAAATGTTCCCATCTAACAACTTAAGCTTTTAGATGAAATGGTTCAATAAGGAACTTATAAAAGGCTAGGGTTTTGGAATAATGGTAACTAGAAAACATAAATATTTCTGTTTCTACTAAACATGGTTAGGGATTTTTACTCAGCTAAGGCAAATACATT